TACTGATCTTAGGGTGTAAAGGATTAATCGATACCCTTTGCGTAGGTACCGTTGTATCCTCATACAGACTCTCGTATGCTTATAGTTACTTTTGTATACTCATTATCCTTCACTTTCGCTCTGCCGCTACTATTTCCCCCCGTTTTATCAACTGAATGCCTGGAAAAGGTTACTTTAATATCAAAGGAAAATTTATGCAGGGGATTGCATTTTTTGACCAAAAAGACTCGACAGATTTTTCGTTTGCTACTTTTGTGCCATATCTGTGAGTTACAATGAAAACCGAAAGAATAAGAAATATATTTGTATTCAACAAAAATTTGCATGCGAAAAAAATAGTTCATTAGACCGTTGAAATGTATTAGAAATGCACAAATATATACATAAGTCTTGGCTTTAGTCTATCCTTGCGGTAAAGTGCTCGATGCGTTCGCGGAGCGTGGTATATCTGAAGGTTGAGCTAATCAATAAGACAACTTTTCTGTGACTCTGAGTTTCACGCTTACGCGATCATATACTATATTGATAAGAATACAGAAATTATTAACGAGAAGATGTGACCTTCAAGTAACACCATTGAATAATTCTGAAGAGAATTAAAATGTAAAGTGATTGGCAGCTAGAAGACAAAATTATTCATCAGATGTAGGGAATCACTGAAATGGTTGAAACTGACTTATTAAATGTGACTTTTTGAACACCTTCGATCCAATAAGTGTGGATTGTTTAAACAAGTTGTCATCAGAATTTGTCCCACTTTCAGCTAAAAACAGTGTTACAGTGCAATTTAAACGTGGCAACATGAAAACCTAACTGATTTTCTGTCGACAAACCGCACTCTAACAGGTCTGTCGGGAATGGTGACCCCTCTCATGAACGGCTCCACATTCTCTACCTCCGGTGGGTAAGAGAAGTCAAACTGCTGCACGATTCTGGCCATCAGCAAATGGAGCTCTAACTCGGCAATACGTCGACCGAGGCACATTCTTGTTCCGAATCCAAATGGAAGAGAAGCGAAATAAGATGATAATGACTTCTTTGTCTTAAGTCCACTTCAAAATCAGATTATCAGTTACGTGTTCGAGGTGACTAATACACTGATCTTTCTTGATGACTGCGCTGCTTCGATAGATGTGTACCAATAATTTTTTTGACCCGGCATTTAGCTCTCAGCATAAGATCCAGAGAAATCATGGTTCGGGTCCTCGCACAGCAGATGATAAGCATCGTAAAACCATCCAGAGAGAACATCACTGAATTAGTTCTCTTCTGCACACTATCATCTGAAGACATGAGGATTATATTTGAGAATTACACAGGCGACTTTAAATCTGATGAGCAGAACGAATTAATGTCTGAGCTTAAGCGAGTAAGTTATTCACATCTCATATTCTCACTTCGTCATTCTTATAGTATTCATCTTGAAGTAATTCAATGAAAATATTTGCATTTCTTTCTAATAAAATGGAAATCATTGAACATGATTAAGAAGCTGTTAAAGATGTTATTAAAACTTTCGAGGCCGAACCCTCAAGTGATTCAGATCATCCAGAGCAACTC